CAAGCAGCATCATAGGAGCCTCTCTGCTCCTATGATGCTGCTTGGCCTGCTGTGTTCATCCAGCCCTGCACCTTGTTGTCTCGGATTCTCCAGCATCTGCAGTTCCTACTATCTCATCATTAAGACAGTCATTATTTTGGTCATACTGCAGTATTTCAACTGTAACAGACTTTAGTGCACTTCAATCTCTGAATTAGAAGGTTCTGATTTTGACTCTGTAGTGATTGTAATGAGGACTGTAAATAAAGGGTGACTTGGTGATGGGATACCAGCCTCTGTGAAGTTATTTCAGAGTCACTCTCTAGAGACTTGAGCCTTGAACTCAAAAATATAGGTACAATGGTGGTTCCAAACACGTTTGTGGAGATAATACTTAGACTTTAAGATCTGGACATTTTTCTTACCTTTTGGCTTTCTTTTATTTCTGTTGTTTTTTTTTTAATTCTGGTTTTGTAACCAAGATGGTACCAGAGAATTGTATGAGAGATAGTAGGAACTGCAGATGCTGGAAAATCTGAGATAACAAGGTGTAGAGCTGGATGAACACAGCAGGCCAAGCTGGATGCTGCTTGGCCTGCTATGTTCATTCAGCTCTACACCTTGTTATCTCTGGTACCAGAGAATGGTGACTTTGTATACTTTCCAGTGTACTCTTGTATTCCTATACTTGAGTACATGTGACAATAAAATCTAATTGTAGTTCTAAGTCTGTGCTGCACTGTCAGAGACTGCACTAACTCTCAGAAAAGATTGAGGAAACTTTCTGCTCTCTCATGTGAGTGTGATGGATGCAGTCATTATTACAGTTGTACAGTCATTAGAAGTTTTTTCTCCAGTGTCTGACCAATATTTATCAGATAACATCTCTGACTGTGGTCATTGTCATATTACTGTTTGTGAGAGCTTGCTGCGTGCAAATTGGCTGTTGTGCTTACAAATATTAAGGCATTGGTTACTTTCCAGCAGTGACTACATTTCAAAAATAGTATTTTGTTTGTGGTAAAGGGCTCCAAACGTGAAAGGATTATATAAACACGTTGAGATAGTAAGAACTGCTGATGCTGGAGTCAGAGATAACACAGTGGAACACAGCAGGCGAGGCAGCATCAGAGGAGCAGGAAAGTTGACATTTCAGGTCGGGACCCAATCTGAAGAAGGGTCACGACCCGAAACGTCAACTTTCCTACTTCTCTGATGCTGCCTGGCCTGCTGTGTTCATCCAGTTCCACACTGTGTTGTCCCTTATATAAACACGTGCCTTTCTCACTTGCTAAGATTAGCCTGACGCTGTCCCTTTAAAGGGAGGGTCCGCACCTTTGCCTGATTGACGGGCGGATTGAGCATCCGATAGGAGGATGGGATGACTGACACTCTGGGCCACCAATGAATGTGCAGGGTGTAGGCTGGGGCGGGGCGAGGTTGGCAGGGGATACATTGTAACCCAGCCTGTGAGGAAAATGGACACAGTGTATCCGCCAGTGGTGGAGACTCCCAGAGGAGGCGAGTGACGGACCCGAGCTGGAAATTGCTCTGGCTCAGTGTGCCCACCTGGGCAATGACCGCTGCCAGTCCCCGGGCTACTCACTCAGGCCGACTGCTGAGTTTTGATGTGTGCTGCGGCCTGGAGAACCTGCCAGTGCCAGTCCTGAATGAAGTGGACGACGACTGTTTGCCCCCTTTGCAGGTACAGCAGCATTTGTTTTACAGAACCACCGCGGGCCTTTCACACACCTACAGAATTGGTAACCGAGTTTTAACCTGGTGAAAACCGTCGTGAGTGCAGAAATATGTGTCTCAGCTACGATACGGCTGACCCCAATTCTGTCCGAAGTGCCAATTAAAGTTTGCAAGTGTTAGGTTCTTTCCGAAGTCTCGACTGCATAGTCGAAGACAATCAGAAGAGAAAGTCATGTAACCGTGGTCACACTTAGACTACAGTGTGAACACAGACCAGTTCTTCTTAACAAGGGCTGGCAATAGTGTAACACAGTATGAAGCTGGAGGGACACAGCAGGCCAGACCGCATCAGGGGAAAGCTGACATTTCGGGTCGGGACCCTTCTTCAACACTTTTTTTCTTACGTCAACTTTCCTGCTCCTCTGATGCTGCCTGGCCTGCTGTGTTCCTCCAGCTCCACTCTGTGTTACCTCTGACTCCAGCGTCGGCAGTTTCTACTATCTCTGGCAACAGTGTAGATCGAGCAGCAGGTTGATCAAAACTTGCAGAAACTAGTTTGGGTATTCAGGAACATTCTATGTCTTGAACTTTAAATATTTTTAATCAACTTGTTCAGAGATGTCATGATGCACCCCTGGAGCAGGTGTGTTGTAAACCCAGGCCTCCTGGCACAGAGGTATGGACACCACTATTAATGATACATGTACCAAGGTACAGCAAGAAGTGTAGAAAATGTATCCGTCGCTCCTGATGTGGCCTCTACATCGGGGAGACCATTTCGTAGAGCATCTGTGCTCTGTACGCAACAAATGACAACACCTTCCAGTCGCCCTCCCACTCCCTGGGTGACATGTCCATCCTGGGCCTCCTCCAGTGCCAAAATGACACCACACCCAAACTGGAGGAACAGCACCTCATATTCCGCTTCGGGAGCCTATAGCCCGATGGCTTAAACGTAGAATTCACCAGTTTTAAAATCGCCCTATGCCTGGCCTCATCCCATGTCCAACCCTCCCTCTCATCCCCGCCTCCTTGACCTGCCACAACCTGTCCATCTTCTCTCCCACCTATCCATCCCACTGACCTATCACAGCACTCCCTCCCTGCATCCACCTATCACCATCTCACCTACCTTCCCAAGTCCCACCCCTCCACTCTGGATTTATTTCCCAGCTTCCTTCCCTGTCCCCATTTCTGAAGAAATGTTCTGACCTGAAACATCAACTTTTCTGTTATTCTGATGCTACCTGGCCTGCTGTGTTCCTCCAATTCCACCCTGTCTTGTCTCTGACTCCAGCATCTGCAGTTCTTGCTATCTCTACAATAAAAAGTATTGTTTTGTGTTCTATCCAGGCAAATCAAACCTTACATAAGTACACCAGGGTAGTATAACAGAGTGCAGATATAGTGTTACAGCCACAGAAAAGGTGCAGAGAAAGATTAACTCTAATAAATGAGAGGTCCGTTCATAAGTCTGATAACAGCGGGGAAGAAGCTGTTCTTAAATCTGTTGGTACGTATTTTCAAAATTTTTCTGTATTCTGCCCAATGGAAGAGGGTGGACGAGAGTATAACCGGAGTGGGAGGAGTCTTTGATTGTGTTGGCTGCATTTCCAAGGCAGCAGAAAGTGTCGACAGAGTCAATGGAAGGAAGGCTGGTTTTTGTGCTGGACTGGGCTGTGTTCATGACTCTCTGTAATTTCTTGCAGCCTTGGACAGAGCAGTTGCCATACCAAGCTGTGATGCATTTGGATAGTATGCTTTCTATGGTCCAACTGTAAAAATTGATGAGTCCTTGTGGACATGCCGGATTTCCTTAGCCCGATGTGGAAGTAGAGGTGTTGGTGTGCTTTCTTGACTGCAGCATCGATGTGGATGGAGCAGAATGGATTGTTGGTGATATTCACTCCCGGGAACTGGAAGCTCTCAACCATCTCCCACCTCAGCACCTTTGATACAGTCAGGGATGTGTCCTCCACTCTGCTTCCTGAAATCTCCTTCATTTTGCTGACATTGAGGGAGAGATTGTTGTCTTTACAACATGCCACTAAGCTCTTTATCACTTTCCTGTAGTCTGTCTCGTCATTGAGTTGGATCTCAAACACTATGGTGGTGTCATCAACAAATTTCTACTTGGAGTTAGAGCTGAATTTGGCCACAGAGTTGTGAATGTAAAAGGAGTATAGTAGAGGGGTGAGTATGTAGCCTTGTGGGGCATCGGTGCTGAAGATTATTTTGGAGGAGATGTTGTTGCCTATCCTTACTGACTGCAGTCTGTGCGTCAGGAAGTCAAGGATCCAGTTGCAGAACTGTGGAGCAGACTCCTAGGTCTTGGAGTTTGGTTGGAACTATGGTTTTGAAGGTGGAGCTAAAGTCAATAAATAGGAGTCTGATGTAGGTGTCCTTGTCAGCCAGATGTTCCTGGGATGAGTGTAGGTGTAGGGCCAAGGAGATTGCATCTGCCATGGGATAGTAGACAAATTGTAGAGCCCCATGACATTTTTTTTTAAAAATCACTACAGTGTGGAAACAGGCCTTTCAGCCCAACAAGCCCACACCAACTCATAGAGCATCCCACCCAGACCCATCCCCCTATAACCCACCTAATCTATACATCCCTGAACACTACAGGCAATTTAGCATGGCCACTCCACCTAGCCTGCACATCTTTGGACCGTGGGAGGAAACCAGAGCACCCAGAGGAAACCCACACAGACACAGGGAGAATGTGCAAACTCCACACAGACAGTCACCCAAGGCTGGAATTGAACCTGGGTCCCTGGTGCTGTGAGGCAGCAGTGCTAACCGCTGAGCCACCGTGCCACCCCTACTGAGCCTGAAACAACTTATCAAGAAGAGATACACAAAAGTCTTTGATTATTAGCACTCTTAATTGACGATTACCATTACATGCGGACCATGTGAGATTGTCTTTTGTCACTCTCATTCGTCATCTGAACACAAAAAGTGTCCATGTGATTGGTCAGAATTAGCAAATTGCATAGAATATAGACAAAAGGCCTGGGTCAAGTCCCAGCTGTCAGGAAGGTGTATAATAACATCTCTGAATAGGTCGTTTAAAAATTCTTTCTTAAAAGAAGCACAGAAGTAGAATATTCAGCCCAGTCAGTCTGTGCCGTGTTTTATCCTTCACTTGGGCTTTCTCCCACCTTTCCTTTCCTTACCTTTATCGGCAAAACTTTCTCATCTCATATCCCTCGTATATTTATCTTTAGGCTCCTCTAAAGTTCATCTGTTCTAATTGCCTCAACTATTCCTGAAAGTGACAAGATCCATGTTCTCACCATTCTATGGGTAAAGATGTTTATTCTGAATGCCCTATCTAATTTCTTGGTGGCTACATGATATCAATGGCCTTTTGCTTTGCTCTATCCCATAGGTAGTGACTGTAACTTTCTCAGTATTTCACAAATGTAAAGGCCTCAACCCCATTTAGAATTTTACCTTCCAAATAAGAAATGACTTGTGTGTTGTAGTACTTCACATTTAAAATTAATTTGACTATTAGACAAGGCTATTCTGCAAGTTTATTAATAGTGTAACCTAATGTTGCCTGGCTGACATCATACAGCTCAGGGTACATTAGATAGTCACAGAAGCTGTTCCAGTAAATGTAATAAGTTGAATTGCAGGCTTTGTGCCCGCAGACTCGTATTAAATGGAACTTTGAGCCAAAAGAGCCCCGATATAACCTGATTTACCTACAAACACACGCTGTCTTTAAAAATAAATACAAATGAATTCACTGAGATGCAGTAACTATGTGGAAAACATCTTTGTTTCAATTTGTTCGCACCTAGAATGATCTGACCTTGTACAATAGGAGGCTTAGAAAATATTGGGAGTTAGATAGGGATAAACTCAAGAATCCCTTTCTGCGTTAAGTGCTGGCTTTGTCCAAGTCTGATACAGTCTGTCATACCATCAATCCATTTGAACCTGTTTTATTCCAGAGCATATCTGCAGCCTTTGCGACTTAAGGAAGAGAAACGGGTGAATGAGTGGGTGGGCAACTCTTTTGGACCAATTACCACATCCTTGCCTCTTACTGCGCAGAAGACAGTGCTTTGTCTTAAGTTGTGAAAGCTCAACCTCTTTACCCTCCAATCAACAGTATGTTTAACTTTCTGACAGGTTTAGCCACATCTGCAGGATTTGAACATTCACTCACAGAGGGATATCTCAATATAGAATGATAACTGCCCATCATTTCATGCTCCAGCCTTGCTAGCTTCACTCCGATTAATTAGTGAGGTCATATGATAAGCGTGCACAAGTCTGGCTAATCCAGAGTTACAAGTCCAAAACTTTGGCTTACCATGGGCATGCTTACCAGCTTACTATCCTGTCACCCACCAGGAGCAACCAGACACAAAGAATTCTCAACATGGAAGTCAGTGTGGGCATCTAGCAACTTCCTCTTGTTGCTGGCTGTGAAGAGGTTCTGTGTTGGTCACCATACAACAGAATCTCAGGGCCTGATCTATGGGAATAAAAACCGAAAGAACTGCGGATGCTGTAAATCAGGAACAAAAACAGAAGTTGCTGGAAAAGCTCAGCAGGTCTGGCATCATCTGTGAAGGAAAAAAACAAAGTTAACGTTTCGGGTCTGGTGACCCTTCCTCAGAACCACTATGGGCACCAGTCATTTGCAGCTCTCCTCCACGGAGATTGGCATCTAAGAGTTGTCTGCTTAGGATTCTCGTGTCACCTCTCCAACCTGTTTGTGGGACGTTTAGCAACTGGCATTGAAACATTGCTGCAAGGATACTGTGCCCAGGGACAAGGAACCAGCTCGTGGAAAGGACCTGGCTGCCTCGCTTGCTCTCCTGGTGTCCATTCACTTTGTGCTCACCTAATTGCTCACAGCATCCTTACCTTGTCAAGATACCTTGTTATATCAGTCGAAAAGAAGTTTGTGAAACTTCTACTCAAACACTCTTGATTTCGAATTCTCCAAGTGATAAAAGTTGAGAAAATTTAAGC